CAAACAGGTGATTGATGGGCGTGCTTCCGGTATCGGGCCCCGCCCAGCCCTCTCGCGCTTGCGCGCGCCCGGCGCCGGCCGCCATCTTGTGTGGAAGGGCGCGCTGAGGCGGCCGCAGGTGAGCGAGGGTTCCGCACGTCCCACCGGGACATCCCTGACTCCCTCCCCGGCATTCCCGCATCCCACCGCGGCCGTCCGGCTCCCCTCGGGCCGCGGCCCGGGCCCCCAGGCACCGTTGGCAGCGGCTGCCGTGTCGGGGTGAGGGCCTCTTGTGCTCCCAGGGTTCGGAGAGAGGGAGCTCCGCTCTGCCGTGTCCCTGAGGAGAATGGGGTGCGGGGTACAGGGTCTGGGTACAGCGGGACTCAGGAGCCTGCGGTTAACAAAGTACTGCGACCTTCAGCACCTTGGGCTTTGAGGTGGGGACATGGAGTGCCCTGCACAGGGCCAAGCAGACTGAGGTCAGGATGGTACCTGCCTTGGCAGAGACGGCGGCTGTGAGATCTGGCCTTTCTGTCTTTCCCTCGAGGAAACCTTTTATCATTCCTGCAACCCCTAGCTTGCCATCTCCTTTGTGACATGTAGTGTTTTGCCCTCAGCTGGGTTGACCGGGTTCCTAAGAGCCTATTTCTGTAACACGAGGTGCTGCATGTAAACTGGTTGAATGCATGTTCTGGTGCAGATGAGGCCAGCATCCCCCAAGTTCTGTTCTCAGTCACCCCAGCTCACTTGATTGTGTTGTCTTCTCTTGAGATACAGTCACCCTGCTTATGCCCACAATAGTAATATTTTACAATATTTTTATAATTTTAATAGTTTTTTTTCACAGCCTGCCTGCAAAGGCTCACACTGCCCTATGGTAACATTCATACTGAAGGTATGTCCTTACAAGGACTGGGCTAATCTTTTGGTTATGCCTTTCCAGGATTCCCAACATTGATAGTTCACAGTGGCCTTGAGAGGAAAAGTTGTAGCTAACTGATGGGAATTTCTTTGTGCAGCAATTACAGTGGGCTGGATGTTCATGGGTCCATTTTTCTTTTCAGCACTGCAGAATGGAGAACTATAAGAAGACCAAAATTGTGGAGAAACCTTGTCCTCTTCCTTTCACTGACCTGCCTGCTGATATTACTGAAATGAAGGTGAAGGATGGGAGCAAGATTAGGAATCTGATGGGCTATGCTATGAGCAAGATGGAGCAGGACTCAGTGAGGCAGATTCTTTTCACTGGCTCGGGCAAGGCTGTCAGCAAGACCATCACCTGTGTGGAAATCATGAAACGAAGGCTCAAGGAGCTGCACCAGATCACCAAAGTGCTCTTCAAACAGATTGAAGAAATCTGGGAGCCCATTGTGCCTGAGGCAGGCCTCGATGCCTTGACAGTGAAGAGAAACATTCCTGCCATATGTGTCCTACTGAGCAAAGATGCCCTGGATCCTCAGGAGCCGGGGTACCAGGCTCCAGGATCTTTTGATGTCTTCTGGACTGAGACACTGAAAGCAGAATCACAGGGCCAGATGAAGAGGAAGCAGGGTGGAGGCCGGGGAGCTGGCAGCACAGGGAAGCACCCTCGCTCCACCGGGGGAATGCCGGGGGGGCCTTGAGGCGGCAGCTCTGCGTGTGGTTCAGGGGAGCTGCAGAAACCAGCCTGGGGCTGTGGCTGCACAGCTGCTGCTGAACACGGGGGCTCACAGAAGTGTGAGGGGAGGGCAGGAGGAGTGGACTGTTATAACTGGGTGTGATTGTAGCTGTCTGAAAATGTGTTTTGACAAGTTCCCTTGCCAGAGGCTGCCAGGCTGTACTCCATAGGGGTTTGTGGAAGACAGAAATTGCCTCTGCTTGAGCAAGAACTGTTGGTGTGCTGTCAGTGAGCCCCAGCAAAGGGCTGCTAGCCCAGCAAGGTTTCAGGTGCCCAGGGGTGCAGCAGCCCAGGCAGTGAGACAGACACGTGCCTGTGTGCCAGATGCAGGTTGCTCTGACCAATACAAAGGAGAGACAGGACCTGATGTGAAATCACCAGACAGGTGCCAGCACTGCCCAAGCTCATGAGCAGACAACAGGGCACAGGGCTGGGTCAGCCATTTCTGTGCCTGAAGAGTCCTTCTGCTGAGCCTGTCAGGGAGGTTGAATGTAGGACTGCCAGGCTACAGCTCTGTCTGGCATCATGTGCACTTAGCTCCCTTTGGCTCGGCGGAGTTGGTGGTCATGGCTCTCTCTCCAAACAGGCAGCAGTCAACTCATGTTGTAAGCAGCCTGAAATCTTGTGGCTCTGTGGCTGTCCTGGGGTGGTGGTAATAGGAAGCTCCAAGAGATCCTGTTCTTTCCCCTTTATGCTCCTTGATAATGCACAAAGATGACTTTAAAATAAAGGTGTAACTTCATGTAACTTGGAAATTTGTCATGTCTTCCTCATCCCACTGGAGGTCACCCTGCAAGCATTGATGGTTGGGCTGTGGCTGCTGCTGAAGCTCTGCTCTTCCAGCCCTCCTGCTGCTCTGTGTTTTTTCCTCTCGTGACTGTAAATGGACCCTGATCCAATGGGAGGTTAATATCCAAATACTAACCTCCTTTCACATCCAAAATAGATCAAAGTTCTGGGCTTTTTCTATGAAGCTTTTTGCTAATTTTTTTTCCCCTCTTTTAAACTGGCTGGAAATACAGCCTCAAAAAGACAGGCTCATCCTGAACTCTGCTGAGTGAGGCAAAGGGTGGATCGTCTTTTGTGCAGTAGTTTCCCTCCTGGAGCAGGTCCGGTAAGTAATTCTGGGCCGGAGAGAAGGGCTGTACCTGTGACAGGCTGAGCTCTTGCCTGAATGAGCCCTGCTCACACGGTGTCCTGAGCAGTCCAGGAGCTCTTCCTGCTCTTCCCGTGTCACTGCTTGTGTAGTGAGCTCCAGCTGGACCCAGCACTCTGCACTGTCAGTTAAAGGGTGACAATACAAGCGTTGAAAGAGATTTTACCTAAGTGAGGAGGAGCAGGAGAGGTGCAGTGTTACCCATGCAAACAGACAAGACTCCAGCAGCCTGCGTGGCGCACAGACACCTGCCTCGCATCCAAACGAGCGCCCAGTGGAGCCAGGATTGTGCCAGGCTTACACTCCTCCTCCTCTGGAGGTCTCGCTGCTGCCTGCCCCACTGCCTGGCGGTAGTCAGCGGAATGCTTGGACCTGTCCACTGTGCCAGCAGATGTGAGTCCTGGGAATGGGGCAGAGTTAATCTGTTCTTTGTGCTGTTCCCAGCTGCTGCTCCCTTACATCTGAGGAGGAGACTGCTTTTCCTGACTAATTAGCAGATTAGCCATAAATGCCAAGGAAGATGCTCGAGTGTCTGATCAGATGGCTTCTGACATTTCAACTGGCAATGTGTCTGTGTTTACTCAAAACACCCTCTTAGCAGAGAGCTGAGAGCCAGATCCTCAGGCAGCCTGTGTAACCCTCCCTCATGGCCGTGGCACGTTTAAAGCTGCCTCATCAAAGCTGCAAAGTTATTTATTTTTGTTTCATTGGAAGTTATCTTCAGCTGACTTGGTGTCTGTCCCTTCAGGACTGAGCTTTACCTGACCATTACACCTGTGGGTTCAGGTCAGCTGAGAGATGTCTCAGCTCCCTTACAGCTCTGCCCTTCACCCATCCTTCATCTGGCTGTCTCTTCTCCCATGGAGACACACCATGTGGGGATGCCTGGCTGCCACACACCCCGGTGAGACTGCTGTGCATCTGTCTCACCAGGCATATGTGGGGCCTGGATGTGGTTTGTCAGAGCAATTGCAGGTGCAGATCACTGTGGGTCTCCAGGAAGCACCCTGAGGGCCCCTCCAGCCCCTCCTCTTGTCTCCTAGCCATCTCCTTTGGGTGCCACATCTGTGTCCTTTAGTGGGTGCACCCACCTTTGTGGTGATGCCCCATACGAGGGCTTCTCTGGCTCCAGTGTCCATATGGAAGCTGGCAGCTGTGCACGGGTTCAGGCTGTGAGCCCTGTTCCTCAGTTTCCCCACTGACAGGACAGGGAGAAGTCGGTTGTGCTGGTGAGGCTGATTTTGCTCACGTTCCCAGGTACTGATTTTCCCTAGATGTCCTGTTCCCTCCTCTCCCTGGATTATCATGGGCTCTAAGCATGAGCTCTAAGCTCTCTGTCTGCCTGTACCTCTTGTGGCCCGGGAAGGACCCCAGCCCAGCCCTGGCAAGTCCATCCTCAGCATGTTTAAGCTGCGATGTGTGTAGGACCAAGTGCACGTGTGTTCGTGTGTGTGCAGGGCAGGTGGCCCCCGGGCAGAGCAGGGCACGCAGCGCACCAAGTGTCTGCACCAGGCGCAGCAGGACCCGGGCAGGGCTGTGCCAGCAGCGGCGCAAGGGCAGCACCGGGGCCGGTTCGGGCAGCACCAAGGGCACTACCGGTGATAGTACCCGTGAGGGTACTGGGGACAGTACGGGGGCAGTACCGCGGCCGCACTGGGGCCCGTACCGGGGTCAGTACCGGGGGTAGTACAGGGGCATTACTGTGACAGTACCGGGGCAGTTCCACTGGCGGTACCGCTGACAGTACCTGGGCAGTACCACAGGCAATTCCGGGGCAGCACCGTTGGCAGTACCAGGGCAGTACCGCTGACAGTACCGTGACGGTACCGCAAGCAGTACCGCTGGCAGTACGGCTGGCAGTTCCGCTGACAGTACCTGGGCAGTACCACAGGCAGTACCGGGGCAGCACCGTGACAGTACCGCGGCAGTACC